CAACGCTGAGCTCGATTTACTGCTACTCAATAATCTGTGTGTTCGTGCGATTACATTGCATTTGGAAATCTGCTCTTGGCGAAAATGAAGAATTTCCTAAAGCAAACGCTTCGTAGGAGCTTAGTTTGCCATGATCTAGGCAGTAGCGCAAAGATGGTGAAAGCAAGACGGGAAACAGCGTGAACCAACTTATCGATTATCTCACGTCATCCCATATATTAGGTGGTCCACGTAATTCTCATGAAAAATTTAGAAAAACCATGGGCTTTAGGAGCTTCTAACTCTTTTAAATTACTGTAAATTATCTGTCAACTGATCACCAACAAGAGGCACTTTATTTAGGTAACCCTTTTATGGTATTTGGAGAGGGTGAAATTTAGCAAATAACCTCTAGATCCACAGTTTCTCTTGTGCTGAAATCTGATTGATTGATTGATTGATTGATTGATTGATTGATTTGTGGGGTTTAACGTCCCAAAACCACCATATGCTTATGAGAGACGCCGTAGTGGAGGGCTCCGGAAATTTTGACCACCTGGGGTTCTTTAACGTGCACCCAAATCTGAGCAGACGGGCCTACAACATTTCTTCCTCCATCGGAAATGCAGCCGCCGCAGCCGGGAATCGAACCCGCGACCTGCGGGTCAGCAGCCGAGTACCTTAGCCACTAGATCACCGCGGCGGGGCGTGCTGAAATGTGCCTGACTGTTGTTGTAGGGTAGGCTACATTAGTGGAGATTGATCAGTTTCGCCTGGCAAGAAAAAAAAAATATACACACTCGCACGACGCTACATCAAGCCAGTGCCCAGGTCTCTACATAAAAAAGAAGGTTAGCGGCAAAGCCAGTGTACTCAAACCCTTCAAAGAGTTTGTTCAATCGTTATTCTATGGACGTGAGTTAGCCAGAGAGAGAGATAGAGTATGTGTTTGTGTATGTGCGTGCGTATGCGCATGTGTTTACACTCAGTGAAACGACGTTGGTTGCAGTCTACCAGCTGTCACTGGAATACCTTTCGTCGTGTCGTTGAAACAACGGCCACAGTTGACGGATAATAGGTGAAAGACGCCGTTTGCGTTCGTCCTCTTTGGTTTCTATCGTTCAATTTCCGCAACCTCACACGACATACAAGGCACGCACGAGGCTACGCTGACCGTACTTGCGCGAGCAATTTTCTCGCTTTTTGCAAGCGTAGATAGGGGGGGGGGGGGGGCGCTCCGGTCGCCGAGCTGAGCAGACGTGCTCCGAATGAGCTCCGCAGTTTTCGCTAATTGTGCCGCCTTAATTGCTTTCCAATCGATTGGAAATCATCACTGCAGTGTCCGTGAACATCCCTGGACTCGATTGATACTATTTTTGGTCCGCCTAACCAGACTTTTCGTCAATTTTCGACGTTTTCTTCACTTGTGCGACGCTAGGCCTAGCGGACCACGCCTAGGCTTAGCACGAGTACGGCCGGGGCGCGCAGCTGCGTCGGCTGCCCGGCCCGGCTTGACGCTCGACTCCTCATCGCCGAAGATGGCCTCGGCCTCATCGCAGCTCAACGCCGTTTCCCACAACCGTTTCGCGGCCCTTGCTACGGAAGACATGGACTTTTGTGCTGGCGGCAACGGCACTACGACCACCGACACGATCAACGACCAAGAAGTGCTACGCAGCACCGGCCGCACCGCAGTCGCGGTGCGCGGCAACGACTTACACCCAAGCGACATCGCGGGATGGAAAATCTCCGGAAAACAAGTAAGCCAACGACTTAATAAGCCCCAGCTTAACGAAGTTACCCAAAGCAGCAAGCCAACTCCGCAATTTAGTGAAGCTCAAGCAAAACGCATGGTAGCGAGAATCACTAAAGCGTCCCGCATGCCGCTGAATTTGCCACGGGAAGAGCAGAAGATTGTATTACGACCGAGAGGAGGGCTATTCCTAGCAAAACTGGAAGCTGACATCGTAATGTCCGCAGTCTTAACGGCAGCCAACGTTCCCAAGACCGCAGCGAAAGCAGATACGATCTGTACTAATCCCACGCAGAACATCATCGTGATCAGCACGCCCGATGAAAAACAAGCACGTTACTACGCAAGCGTACGCTCCCAGTACATTGGGGGCCGTAGCTACGAAACGCATGCCTACTGCACCGCGCCTCACGGCACAGTGAAAGGAGTAATCCGTGGCATCGCAGTAGAGAACACTGCCGAAGATCTGCACGAGAATATCGTTAACCAAGCAAACCCGCAGGCCCTCGAAGCGCACAGGATTGGAAACATTACTTCGATCGTCATTTTGTTCGCAGGAACAAAGGTTCCCAACTACATAAAGTATGGCTCCATTATAGTAAAAGGTGGATTATACAGACAACATTACAACGTATGCAAGACATGCGGCAAAATCGGCCGTCGAGCCGATGTATGCCCCACGCCGGAAATCAAGATCTGCTTTGCGTGTGGCGCGCCTAACCCGACGGCAGACCACGCGGAGCGGTGCAAGCCACGTTGCAAACTATGTAACGGAGCCCACGCCACGGGCACGGAAGGCTGTACGAACAAGTACAAGGTGCCCTTCGTAGTTACTCAGCGCAGATGGGAGCGCAGAAACGCGGCATCAACGTTTTCGTTGCAAGACTTCCCGCAGCTGCCACCGCAACAACAGAACGAAGCGCATCTATCAAAGAGAGGACGCAGCCGCTTGAGGAAGCGGGACAAAAGCATGAGACAATCGGCGAGCCGCGGCAGAAGCACCGACTGCAAGCGCAGCGAAAACATGAATTACAACCGCAACCAGCAGCGACCGGGCAATGTAATAAATGGGGCCCAGGCAGTCAACCCGCAAGCGGCGAACCACAATCCGCTCAACCACGTAGCTGCAGCAAAGTACAACCCCATCCAGTCACTACGCAATGAAAATGACCAGCTCAAGTGATGCATCGCTGAACAGAGAGCTCAAATGCAAGAGATGAACGCTAAGTTGAACCAACTCATCAACGCACAGCAGCAGCAGCAGCAACAACAGGTGACTCCGCCACCGCCACTGTCGCCGCCGCAGAGTCAACCAAGACCCCCAACGCCAACGGAAAACAACACAAACTCAGCCATGGAGGTACAAGTCCCAGTTACTACGGAAGCTAACAGTGCAGAATCCGAAACGATCGACGTTGCTAGGACAAGCAAACCGGCACCCAAGAAGCGAGCGCTCGAATACGCACGTGAACGAAGAGTCAACGCTAGGCTGGACAGCCTAGAAGAACGTCAAGATCGACTAGAACAGACCATGAAAGCCAACTACGAAACCCTGAGCCAAGTCATCAAAGCTACTAACGATCGCCTCGATGCTACCCACGCACGCCTCGACACATTGGTGACACCCGTACATGGCATGCAGTCTACCATACAAGGAATACAGGCTAAGTTGGATGCACTAATACACGCGCTGACGGCGTCAGGACTAATCCCACAACAGGCCTTCACCCAACCGCAATAATGGACGGGACAACGGCAACAGGCACCGCTAACCACAGAAACAGAGCACAGACACAACAGCATCATCTCCTCATATGGTAATGGAATCTCAACGGCATACAGGGGAGAAAAGCATCGTTAGAACAGTACATAAAACAAAGCACCAAGAGACCCGACGTTATAATACTACAAGAGACGCACAGTGAAACCCCACCGACGTTACCGGTGTACAGATCCTTTGCGAAGCCCCCCAGTGCACGAACAGTTGGGAAAGGCGCAGGGCAGGGGGTCTGCACCTTGGTAAAGAAGAATCTAACTTCAATAGATCACGAGCTGCTACCCAACGGCGCCATCGAGCACAGCACGGTCGAAATCGTCACCGGGAAGCGCAAGCGCCGTGAAAGCACTTTTATAATCAACGTGTACAGCAATCCGAAGCACTTCCGGCAAAAATTCCGCACCCTTGCGCACAAAGCGCAACAGCTCGCGGGCTCCAACGTAACCCTACTGTGTGGAGACTTCAACGCTCAACATACGGCATGGGGGTATCCATACACGACGGCGCAGGGCCACAGTCTCTACGACGAAACAATGGACGCAGGTTACCAATTGCTAAACGACCCCAACGCACCTACGAGAAACGAAACGTCATCGCAGCGAGACACAAACCCGGACCTCGCTTTCATAAGCACGGCCTCAGCACTGCGTGGAGTCACGTGGCGGAACACCGGGGAAGGAAACGTTGGGAAATGACTACTGCATACTCGAAATTACAATACCCATCGCAGAGAACACGCAAAGAGCACAGCAACAGTAAATCGTCGACTGGCACGAGTACAGAAAGAAATTAGAAGACAACGTTACGGAAACCATTGAAAACATAGAAGCATGGACCAACATGTTGAACGCCATGACCAAAGACGCCACTCAGACGGTAGAAGCGGAGCCGGAGGCTACGATGCTGGACAGCAGACTAGCGCACCTCATGGAAGCCCGCAACTCGCTCATACGGCGCTGGAAACGTCAACGCCACAACAGAAAGCTACGCAAACGTATAGCACAACTCAACAGAGACATCGAGAATCACAGCGCAGTCCTCTGCAGACAGCAGTGGCACGCGGTGTGTCAAGAAGCGGACGGTCAACTACACAAAGGCAAGACGTGGCGCCTGCTACGCCACTTGCTCAACGATCAGACAACCAAGGGAGCTCAGCATTACATGCTGGACAAGACAATTCACAAAGCCGTCAAAGAAATGGGAGAGGCTGAGGTGCAACGACGCCTGGACGCCAAGTATCTCCCCGTAACGCCAACGGACCCACTCCCCAGCTACGAAGGGGCAACCAACGAGAGACTAGATGCCGACATCAAAGAATGGGAAGTGCGAGCGGATCTACAACAATCAACTGTAAATCGGCATCTGGACCGGACCACGTCACCAACAAGGCATTGAGGAACTTGAACGACACGGCAATCGAAGCCCTCACCAAGTACTACAACCAGTGCTGGCGGACGGGCAAGCTACCGCAACAATAGGAAGACCGCGAAAATGGTCCTGATCCCCAAACCGGGCAAACCACCCAGCATAGACAACCTGAGACCCATCTCTCTAACGTCGTGCGTGGGCAAGGTGCTTGAACACGTCCTACTCAACAGATGGCAACGTTATTTGGAAGAATCCAACATATATCCACATACAATGCTGGGGTTTCGGGCCAAACTGTGTACCCAGGACGCCATGCTGTTGCTCAAGAACGAAATCGTGGACAGACACTTTCCCACGTTGGATAACAGAGCGGTGCTCGGACTGGATCTCCAGGGAGCATTGGACAACGTACACCACTCGGCCATCCTTCGGCAGGTTTCCCACTTCAACATGGGGGAGAGGACGTTCGCTTACGTCAAAGATTTCCTGACCAACTGCACCACGCGGCTTGTGGCAGGAGAACTACAACTACCGCTCAAGCAGCTGGGGAGCACGGGGACACCGCAGGGCTTGGTGATCTCCCCTCTTTTGTTCAACCTCGTCATGATAGGCGTTGCAAGAAGATTGTAACGCGTTAGAAACATCAAGTACACGATCTACGCGGACGACATCACGCTGTGGTCAACGGGAGGAAGCGACAGCCACATCGAGGCAGCCCTCCAAGAAGCCGTCGCCGCCGTAGAAGAACAGCTACGACCCACCGGACTCAAATGTTCACCAACCAAGTCGGAACTGCTAGTGATCTCACCGCGAAGTGCGCGACGCCCGACAACGCAGAACATCAACGTGGTAACCCAAGACGGAACGCCGATACCGCACGTGCAGACGCTCAGAGTTTTGGGGCTGCACCTCCAGGACTTGAACCGCAACAACGTGACGGTACAGAAGCTCAACGCAAAGCTCTCGCTGGCCACCCGCCTACTCAAGAAGGTGGCCACGCGGTACCAGGGCATGCGAGAAGACAGTCTACTACGACTCACCCAGTCGTTTGCAGTCAGCCACATCTCTTACGTAGCGTCGTTCCACAATTTGAAAGCGGCGGAGAAGATCAAGATTGACGCGATGATCAGAAAGCCGTACAAGACGGCCCTGGGCTTATATCCCTACACCAACACGGAACGCATGCTCGCGTTGGGCGTTCACAACACGCTGGAAGAAATCGCAGAAGCCCAGCGAAAGGCGCAGTATCACCGCCTGTCCCAGACCAGGACGGGAAGAGCGATACTAAAGCGCATCGGAATCAACGCGCCAGCGACGACTCCGGAGGTAGCAAAGCAGTTACCCCGGGACGTTCTCCAAAGACTGAGGGTTCCACCCTTACCGAAGCACATGCATCCACAAGTACACCAAGAAAGAAGAACGGCGAAAGCCACGGCCCTCACAAAAGGTCACGCCAACGATCCGCGCGCGTACTACGTGGACGTGGCGAAGTATCCCCACCGGCCAAACACGTACGCAGCAGCAGTCATCGCAGCAGACACTGGAGTACTCACAACGTCGGGAAGCATACGGTGCAAGTCGCCCACGCAAGCCGAGGAGTTTGCAATCGCACTGGCATTAGCGATCCCGGATTGCCGCACGGTCCTCAGCGACTCGAAGACGGCAATAGCCAACTTTGCTACAAACAACGTCCATGGAACCACTGCAAGAGTATGTTCAACTATAGCAAGACCGGAAACCAACATTACCGTCAAGTGGTTCCCTGCGCACGCCGGGGAGCTGGACGTGGGCCCGAACCGCAACGAGGAGGCAGATACGGAGGCACACGCGCTAACTAGCCGCGGCTCTCTGTCAACGCATTCCTCGGAGCCGCAACGACCCGATGCCGAAGACGGAGAGTATTTTATCACAACCTACGCCGACGTTCTGCAGTGGTACAGAACGAGCAGACGCCTCTACCCACTGCCTCAGCGAGACCTACAACGCAGAGAAGCAGCCACACTGCGGCAGCTGCAAGTACAAGCAATATGGACCCCCGTCTGGGCAAAGCACGTTTGCCCGAAGGTTTACACCACTGATGTATGCCAACACTGCGAGAAGGCGTGAGCCATCCAGAGACACCTCCTTTGGGACTGTGCACCGCCGGGTAACCAAGAAGTAATGCCAACTGCCATAAGCAGCAAAATTATCAGCCGAGAGCCAGGCAATCAAAGAGACGTGGTCCAGCACGTGCTTAGCATCCTGGAACGCCAGCGGCCGAAAGCGGCGCCCCCACGGGTTTGACGCGAGTAGGTTGCTGCTCCGGGACGTCCGAGCACGCTAGTGTCTCGCTTTAATCCCCCTACCACTTCCTCCTTTATGCCGTATCGTCAATAAAGTTGTTTCACTCACTCAAGCGTAGATGAGTGGCGTCGCCTGGTGTCGGCTTTCAATTTATTGCGAGAAGTGAGTGAAAACTCCGCCTTAACCATTGACCTCCCTTCCAAGGGGAACCCTTCGCACGTGTATGTCCACAAGATGACGCCAGCGATGCTAAGATTATCAATGAGAGTTACGTAGCACCTTGGGGCCACTCAAGGGTGCTTATAAAGTAAGATATACAGTATAAAAGTGCGGTGGCTGCATAAGGTATAAGTATTTGCTATTTTTCCTCATTTTATAGATTATTGAGTTCGTGTAGCGTAACATGGGCACCCATTTACACTTTTACACGCCATCCAACATTTTTTTTCTTTTCTGCTTTATCAGGTGCCATTCACTAGAAAAAACAAAATGCACTTCATTCGGCGATTTTCGAATGTACGATAAACACTAGTAAAAAAAGCTGGTGTATTACAATTAGGCAAGTGTATTCATTACGCGCACAGATAAAGTGTCAACTAGAATACAATGTACTAAAATTATGTGTTGCAATACTTCTGTCTTTCTTCTCAGGCGATATGGTCTATGGGGCCATATGGCCATAGGGCCTTATGGTCTTATTGTAAAAGAGTCACTGCAGAGTATTGTCCCTGCGAAAAATAAGGTGACGTCTCAGGCTGGGGCCAATCAGTATATATATGGAGCGCTTTTGAGAAGAGATTCCATAGAAAATGGTTCTTTTATTTTTCATTGTCTTTTTTTTTCTAGCAAGCACGAGCATGCTAGCATTACTAAAGAAATCGAAGCGCATAACGTTTCTGGAAGCGAAATGGTTACAGATTCCAGTTTTGATTTATGCTTTTGCTATATCAATAAGAATACACCTATTTGTTCTGGAAAGTTGTTGGTTTTTTTTTTATCGACTTACAGGTACCGTCAACAAGTTTGCCATTAAGGTTGCCGCCACAGTTTTTTTTAATGAATCAGCATATCCTACGTATCTTAATAATCGACATTATGCGAAGCCTGCGTGGGGAAGGTGACCATGTTGTAATTTTTATATCGCAACACGTCATGAAATGGCGCTACATATATATAGAAATCTTGCACGCACAGGCACACGTTGCAGATGTTTTTATAAGTTTTTGCACTTGCGCGAAGATGTCAACAGGGAACATGAGTATTAGCAACACCAAAAGCGATAAGCTTATAAGCAGCTGAGCGTTGCTGGTCACGAGGATGGTGCCCCTGAACGCTCTACCATAAATCTACTTCAGCGCATGGCACCTAACTACAATTACCGTTAACCCGACAACACGACTGCATCGTAGTATTACACATGTAATCATGATATAATTGGATCGCCAGCATGGCAACCTCAAATAACGTTTCACGAACATTAAGTTCTGTTTGAAAAGTAGTTCTGAGACCTGACCTGGCTTTGTGATAGAATGCTTGATCGCCATGTATAATGCTTGGGTTTCATTCCTGCTGAGACCTTGACATTTATTCTTTGAATTCGTCAGATCAACGTTGCCGATGTCAAGTTTTTCTTAACACTCAAGTGTTGAAACTGCTCGTATGCGTTCTCGTCGTTTCTGGGTAAATTCCAGGTGTCGATCACCTGTGGCGCATACCCGTATACCGCTGGCACATATCCGGCCGCAGATTTGTGCCACTCACTAGTTTAAGGTATTATGAAAGTATTCATGTCTTGACCATCACGTCCTACTCATGAAGTTCTCTTATCCTCCTGTACTAATTTAGTTCACGCTATCATGAGAGCACCCAGACGTAAGCTGTTAGATAGATAGATAGATAGATAGATAGATAGATAGATAGATAGATAGATAGATAGATAGATAGATAGATAGATAAATAGATAGATAGATAGATAAATAGATAGATAGATAGATAGATAGATAGATAGATAGATAGATAGATAGATAGATAGATAGATAGATAGATAGATAGATAGATAGATAGATAGATAGATAGATAGATAGATAGATAGATAGATAGATAGATAGATAGATAGATAGATAGATAGATAGATAGATAGATAGATAGATAGATAGATAGATAGATAGATAGATAGATAGATAGATAGATAGATAGATAGATAGATAGATAGATAGATAGATAGATAGATAGATACCAAACGTGTTTGCGGCACGCAAAGAAATGCTTCGCGTCGATAATGTTCCTCAGTGCTTCAGTATATGTATCAGCGCCATTTTTTTACATGTGGCATTTCTCAAGGGCGTTGAAGTCAGGTTATTCTTCAGCTGACTCTGAAATTCTTGGAAATTACAAGATTTGCGAACGTCCACCGAAGATGTAGATTTAGAAGTGCGATCTGTGTGATAATATTTCTGCGAATGAGTGTGCTAGTTTCCTGAAGTGGTGAAGGGACAAAAGGATGTACCAGAGTGGACTGTGAGCATCGAACCATTCGTACGAGTGCCAAAATATAGACCATTAGTCAGCTCAGAGCTGACGGATTATCATTGTATTTTGTGGTACTTTTGTATTTTGCCGAGTGTGTGAAATCTGAACAGTCTTCATATGCAAGCCAAGAAAGAAGAAAAAACATCGTGTCCCCTTTGAAGCTGCACTTCATACATATTGTTACGAGTAACTTATTTAATAAATTATAAACGATGAACCGTGCTCGGCAAACAAGATGGCGACAGTTTATAAACAACCAGCAACTGATGTCGTCTTTCTCTTTCTTGCAGCAAGGCTGTGCCGGCTGTTGTGTGTCATATCCCCCCGGCGGTAGAGGCATCGTATCGGTGCTTGAGCAACTCGGATGCGGTAGAAGGAGGGTGATAAGGCTTGAGTCGAGCTATGTGCACGATGTCACTCGAAGGTGACGATGATGACGTTGGATCGGCTGGCACGATCTTGTATGTAACGTCAGTCACCTGGCGAATGACACGGTATGGTCCACTGTAGCGTGACAGCAGTTTTTCAGAAAGACCTACACGCCGAGTGGGGAACCAGAGGAAGGCAAGGTAACCCGGTGAAAAATGCACGTTTCGATGATGGGAATCGTAGAGCTGTCTTTGGCGCTCCTGTGAGGCCTGCAGACAGCTGCGGGCGAGTTGGCGTGCGTGGTCGGCTCGCGCGATGGCTTCGCCGGCATACTCAGTGACCGAGGACAGCAAGGTGTCGAAGGGTATGGCGGGTGTTCGGCCGTATAGAAGATAGAATGGCGAATAGCCGGCAGTGTCGTGACGTGACGAATTATATGCGAACGTCAGAAATGGCAAACGAACGTCCCAGTCTTGGGGGTCGACCGTTACGTATTCAGAAAGCATGTCGGTTATGGTGCGGTTGGGGCACTCCGTAAGACAGTTCGTTTGCGGATGGTACGAAGTGGCAAACTTGTGCTTGACAGAGCAGGAGCGCAGGATTTCATTAACGACAGCTGATAGGGAGGTCCGGCCCCGGTCAGTGAGAAGTTGGCGTGAAGCTCCGTGTACTAAAATAATATCATATAGCAGAAAGCCCGCCACATCAGTTACGCAACTCATCGGAAGTGCTCGCGTGATAGCACACTGTGTCGCATAGTCAGTGGCGACAGCAATCCATTTGTTGCCTGAGCTGGAAATCGGGAATGGGCCAAGCAGGTCGAGGCCAACTAGAAAAAAAAAGGCTCAGTGAAAATGTCGATCGACTGAAGGAATCCAGCTGGTGGGGAGGATGGCTTTTTGCGCCGCTGGCAGGGTTCACAAGCGGCGACGTAGCGTCGAACAAAACGGGCAAGACCAGGCCGAAAGAAACGACGACGTACACGGTCGTATGTGCGAGAGACGCCCAAGTGGCCCGCCAAAGGAGCGTCATGAAGCTGGTTGAGGACAGCCGCACAAAGATGTGCTGGTATGAGGGCAGTAAGTCATGGCCATATGGATCGAGGTTACGGTGATACAAGATCTTGTCTTTGACCAGGAACATTT